GGAACTTAAATTTTGGTACACATTATAAGATAATTGAAGGCCATTCGATGGTAGTGTTTTGTAGTTCAGTTTACTTTTATACAGAGTAGACATGTGGAACTCCTACTTTTGTCTTGTTCAGAACTTTTTTGTGTGCGCTTAAAGTTTTATCAACATAATTTTATTAATTACTACAAGTTATTTATCAATTTTTTATCTCTTATTGTTTTTCTTAAGGGCTCTAGTTTGCCCGCAAAAAAAATAAATCTTTTCGGCTTAATCAAAAGTTTCCAGGCCGATTTAAACGCGCTTGATTTTTACTTCTGGGGCCATTTAAAAAGTACGGTATATTCACCAGAAGTGAATACAATCGAAGAACTTTAGGAAATAATTTTTAATATTTTTAACGAAATAAGAACTTCAGTGCAAACTTTACGGTTTGAAAATTTCAATTTAATTAAAAGACTGCTGCTAAGTTAACATTAGAATGGTTAATTAAGTTTAATTTTGTTTGTTTATATCGTTGCGCATATTGTTACCATGTTTTTATTTAAGTAAAACTTATTCAAACTATAATGTATATTATTTTGATTAWTTTTTTTWAAATTCTTTCAACATTAGAAATCYTAAACTGATTTTTGGTGGACATTTTGAATCGGAAATAATTTATTTWATCGATATCTTAAATAACTCRGTAAATATATAATAACATCTTTCTCATTTTCTGTCTCTCTYTTTCTATAATAWCGCCTCCAATCAGCTGAAATCTGGCAACAATGTATTCCAAGGGGGCTACAATTGGCCGCTCCTCATCATCGGTAGTTCAAACTTCAAATACTTCAAAAGCTTCAAATCTAGAAAAAGCGACGATGCCAAGCCGCTGAACAAATCTTTAACCACGCAGTCTGCGGTGGCAAAACTTGAACTTCGAGCACCAAAAAAAAAAAAAAAAACGCACAAACAACAAAGGTGCCGCCCAATCAATCACCGCCGCGCGCGTGTCGTGCAAACACATGTTTTCATAAATAAAACATCGCCCACATTTACCGAGACGACACTTTATTGGCTGCACCACTACTACACGGCTCAACTTTTCCTTCGAATTTCACGCATTTTCCATCGAATCTCACACTGGGGGCGGCCAGAAACCCACCAAATCCAGGCGAAAAGGACACTAACCCCTAACTGACTAACGCTAGAATAATCGACAAGGAAAATTGGTATTTCGTATCACAGATAAGGTCAATCAGACTAGAATACATAGACAAATGGCTAAGGGGAGTGGCGAGCGCCGGCGCACAGCGGCTGCGCCGCGCCAGCGCAGAACTCAGCGCTCAGGTTTGGTCACTTCAATCAGAATGGGGTAGTGGATGTTGTCGTTGTAGTCGGCGTTGGCCATGAGGGCGAGCCGYTTCTCCCAGACGACGTCGCTGTAATTGGGCACAGTGCGGCAACGCAGCCCCGCCGCCTCCGACTGGCCGACGAAGCTGTCCAAGGTGGMGCCGCGCCGGGGCGCCATCACCAGCGCCAGCCCGCCGGGCGCCAGCCGGCTGCGCAGACAGTTGACGAGATCCGTGCGCGCATCATCGAAGAACAAACAATCGGCGGACACGATCACATCGAACTGGCCGCGACTGTCCTGCGCAGCATCGCCCCACCGCAGCACTGCGCAGTCGGTGCGGCAGGCGAACGCGTTGCAGCGCAGTATCGCCTGCACATTCTCCACCGACGCCTTGTTGCCATCGGTGGCAAGCACGCGCTGCGCGCCTGCGTACTTGGCGACAAACAGCGCCGCCAAACAGGACATGCCGCCGCCCAGTTCCAGCACTCGCTTGCCACTGAACAGCGCCAGATTGCCGCATGCGTAGTAGCTGAGCGTCTCCTCCGACGGCCAAATGCAGATGTTGCCCGTGTTGTTGAAGCCCATCAGGTCTTCGGCGCTGAATGTGCGATTCCGATGGCCGATATTGAGCTGATAGAGCTGCGCCCCCACTCTGATCGAGTACTCGAACCAGGTGCGCTTCGACACCGGGTCGTTGCTGCGCCATGGGGTGGGCGCCGTATGCGCCAAAGGCGCCGTGGGCAGTTCGCGTGTCTCCAGCAGCATAAACGAGGAGATTCGGCGCACGGAAATCTCGTCCGTTGGACTGGACGGCTGGCTCGCCGTCGGGCTCTAAAATGTGGGCAGAAAACCAGGGCTTCAGTGGGTGTCGGATGGGCGCCTGCCCTGCGCCCCAATCGCGCCACTCAAAGCTACTATTGGGCGCAGACTAGAGGTGCACGTTTGAATCTTTGATTGCTTTGACTATGACTCAAAGGAGCGGCTAATTGTAGCCCCCTTGGAATACATTGTTGCCAGATTTCAGCTGATTCGAGGCGTTATTATAGAGAGAGAGAAAATGAGAAAAATATTATTATATATTCACCGAGTTATTTAAGACATCAGTTTAAGATTTATAATGTAGAAATAATTTTAAAAAAATAATTAAAATAATATACATTATAGTTTGAATAAATTTTACTTAAATAAAAACATGCTATCATTATGCGCAACGATATAAACAAACAAAACTAAATTTAATTAACCATTCTAATGTTAACTTAGCAGCAGTCTTTCAATGAAATTAAAATTTTCAGGCCGTAAAGTTTGCACTGAGGTTCTGATTTCGTTAGAAATATTAAAAATTCTTTCCTAAACTTCTTCGATTGTATGCACTTCTGGTGAATATACCGTACTTTTTAAATGGCCCCAGAAGTAAAAATCGAGCGCGTTTAAATCGGGAGATCTCGGAGGCGAGTTTATAGGAGCTTCTTGACTTCTAGCAATCCAACGGCCTGGAAAGTTTTGATTAAGCCGAAACGATTTATTTTTTTTGCGGGCAAACTAGTGCCCTTAAGAAAAAGCAATAAGAGATAAAAAAAATTGATAAATAACTTGTAGTAATTAGAAAAATTATGTTGATAAAAGTTTAAGTGCACACAAAAAACTTCTGAACAAGACAAAAGTAGGAGTTCCACATGTCTACCCTGTATAAAAGTAAACTGAACTACAAAACACTACCATCGAATGGCCTTCAACTATCTTATAATGTGTACCAAAATTCAAGTTCC